AAATGAATACATAAACAAAACGATTTTTTCACTTTCACTTTCCTATATATGTACATATCAAATTTTATCCCTCTATTAAAAACCTTGGAATAACTTTTTCATTTCCACCTTAAAACGCCTCAACTACTTCCGTCAACCTATTTCCCCTTGAAACCCGTAGGCTCCTAGTAACTTCCTTAATTTTTCCCCACTTTGACTATTGCTGTACAGTATGTGGGGGCGTCTCTGGGGATCTCGAAGCGAAACTAAAACGTTTGATAAATTGCTTTGTACGATTCATCTTCGGGATCCCAAGGGACGCCTCTGTTTCCCGTTTTTATGTTGAGTTGAAGTGACTTTATCCTTCTTACCGTCTTAAGTATTTCCTGGCATCCTTCCTCTTTCAAGTCATCCAATCCCACCGTCCCTCATACATCTCCGAACTCCTTCAATTCAAATCCTCAGTTCGTTCCCGCAATACTCGTTCCCGGTCTTCTGATTTATACATAAGGGTCCACCGAACCGCTGCTTTCGACGGATCTTTCATTATCCGATCCTCATCCCTATGGAATTCCCTCTCTTATCACATCCGTCAATCCAATACCCTTCCTACCTGTAAATCCCGCCTGTTCAATCATTTCTTATCCATCCAGTCCCCATAAAATTTAGATACCGCTGTAAATATGTATATAAATTATTAGATCGTTCTTCATTATTTTTACTTTATTTTCAACTTTTTATTATTAACTTATTTAAATTATAAAGTAACTTAAAAATTTTTATTATGAGTATTTAATAACTCAACATTTTTTTTATGTATCTCTGAGGCTCCTTAGCCCACATTTCTGTCCTGTATTATTCTAAAGGGACTTGTCCCAGAATAAATAAAGTATTATTATTATATATGTAATATATAGTGGAGTGAGGGAAAGTATTGCGATCGTGAAAATTTAGGATTTGATAAATTCTAAGTTATCAACGGTATATACATGTTTTGAGGTCCTCTGAGTTCAAATAACCAAGTTCCGCAAAATGGTCTGTGAGTGTGTGTATCTATGCGAACAGTCTAGCTCAAAAACGAAAAGTCGTACGAAAGTGAAATTGCATATTTCAGGTTTTGATATGCCTGAGATGTTACAGCAACGTTTTCGTCAAAATCGGCTGACCGGATGTTGCACTTCATATCATCGATTTAAAAATTTTTTACGATTTCCTCAAAAATGTCTCTAATGATTTTCATTAAATTCATTAAATCAGTGTACGATAAAATAGTTTTTAATATAACGTAGGTTTTATTATCATTGATGTTCTTTAAGAGGGCTTAAATGACTAATTTTCAAAATTTCTTACTCGGAAGTACCTTTAATTCCTTTATATTTGAAATAATTAATCTTTTCATGATATAACCTGGAGTAAGAAATGGTTAATATAATGAATGAAGAATATTGATTAGTAACCAATAGAGAAATAAGGATCGGAAGCTCAAAAAGGGCATTTTCTCATTAAATTGATTAGGTACTAAAAACTCATAAATACCCATTTTCTTTCCACATTAATCGTAAAATAATTTGATCACAAAATCGAATAAAAAGGTGGCCTACAAAAATATTGTGCCATTTGGCCTATATAACTTCGTCATTTTGACATGTTAAGGGTGGAGGTCACGCTAAACAGCCAAATATTTTTGTAGGCCTTTATTCTCGATTTTGTGATCAAATCATCTTACGATTCAGGTGGAAAGCAAATGGTTGTTCATGAGTTTTAGTACCTAATTAAATAGACAAAGTTTGCTGATTTCCAGATTGAAAACGGAATTTGTGTACCGCGGATGTGAATAATGAAACGTCTGATCTCTCACATATTCAGAGATAGCGAGGCCTGAATTAAAAAAAAAAGAAATAATTGTTAAACTAGTTGGCCCGTGTGAAACATTTGCATAATATATTAGTTCAATGATCAAATGACAAATTAATAATAAAATGAAATAATGTAACGCACCGTAAAATAAAGAAATAAATTGTTAGTTTCTCCCTAAATATATCGACAAAGGAAATATAAATTAATTTGAAACATCATTTATGTATGGAACCAGCATGTCTACAAACTTCAATGAGTTGTATTTTTGCTAATAACTGTCAGATTTAAATAAGCGTATTAGAGTCAATCTTATATTATTTGACCTCCGGCTTTACATCCGTTTTTCTCATGTTTTTTCAGGTTGAAAACAAAGTAATGATATTATTTGTTTACTAGTAGGCCCGTGAGAAAATTCGCACAGTATATTGTTCAATGCGGAAATAATAAATTAATAAGAAAAGAAAACAATGCAACGTAGCATAAAAGAAATCAATTGATATCTTTCTCGCTAAATATAACCGACAAAGAAAAAAAAAATTTAAAAAACTTCATAATGTGCTACTATCATGTTTACAAATTTCAATAAGCTGTATCGTTGCTAATAAAAATAGTCCGATTTCGATGATTTTTTTTCCTTTTGTAGGAAATTTAGTAATCTTTTATACAATCATGGATATCATCATCATCATATGTGGCACGACATCCCGTTACCGAGACTGGGCCTCCTCCAAGAGCCTCCGCCAGTTGGCTCTGTCTTCTGCTGCAGCTCTCCAGTTCCGTACACCAAGCATGGTTCTCGCATCATGGGCCTCGTTGTCCAACCATCTCGTCCTCGGCCTTCCTACCCGTCTTACGAGGTGCAGCTCCTCCATCATTATTTTTTTCGGTATTTCAAGGATGCTCATTCTGGCCACATGCCCTGCCCACCTTAGTCTGGCCAGTTTAATATACGTGACTACGTCGATGTCTGCATAGAGAGAACTGAGCTCCCTATTTTTTCTTTTCCTCCAGACATCACCCTCCTTTACTGGACCATAAATCCTTCTGAGGACTCCTCGCTCAAACACACTCAGTTTCATCTCGTCGTTTGGATATAACCAATAGAAAAGCGTGTAATTTTCCAGTTTTTTTTTTTTACTTGAACTTTCGGGGCGACTGGACTATTTTTCCAGCTTGAAGGAGAAAGAAACCTTCAAAATTGGTGGCTCAATCTTGAGATTTCATGAAGGATTAACGATAATCTTGCTAAACGGCAAAAAAAATTTTTGATAAACAATATAAACTCCTCCTCTCTCGATCATAGACACCTCATGTCGACGAAATTAGACCTGTATTCCATGGCAGAACTATAATAAACGTAAGGTTTTGTGGATGCGAACCCTTTGCCTTGCGTTATTTCGAAAGTATTACGTTTTTGGACTTAAGAACGCAGGGTCCGTTAGTTCCGAGGGAATTATCCAGGTATTGGTGTTCGAATAAAAATCTTCTAACCCCAATTTGTCCCGTATCGATCTACAGACACCACAGATTTTCCAGTATTAAAGCCTAGCAAAATTTTTATATCGACTTTATTTATTTTAGGAAGAAACACTAAAGCGGATAGTACGATTCGCTAACCCCTCGTGAAATTCTGAATCCAACGGTACGGTCCAAATACTGAATTCATGGTATTTGAGCATGACAGGAGCTTATATTTGGTATAAAACCGATTTCGAGCCTTTCTGTAATAATATATGTGGGGATTGATTTTTGGTTTATTATTTTCAATAATGAACCATTGTGATTGACCAAACCTTAATCCCCTCTCAAAATTTGAGGTTTCACGTTTCAGGATACGTAGAATTCGAAAAACGAATAAAAATTGTTTTATCCGTCCGCCGACCGCGCATTTTCTCCGAAACTACTGGACCGATTTTTTTCAAATTTGGATATAAAATCAGTGGTCACCCGAGGATGACATTACTTCATGACTTCATCGACATTACTACCCGCCTTTTACTTTCAAAATGGCGGCCGAAAAACCTGCGTTGCTATAGACTGTAGCGCTTAAACGAATGTACCGATTTCAATGAAACTTCGCTAAAGTCATTTTCTCAACGCCCTTTAAATTTAACTATATAACATACTTCTACGAAAAGAGGCTGGAAAAAAAGTTACGAGGGATGGTAAAATTAAATTCTGAATAACTCAAAAAGTTCACACTTTTTTGTTGATAGTGTATGGTTTTTTAATGTTTACAGAATTTCGTAAAAAGAAAAAAATAATCGTTAAAATCGGACAATTAGGAGCTAAGATATAGTCTCTAGTTTAGTTATTTTTGTATGTTCTACTGTAAAGGTTATATCCTTTGTTTTGAATTTTGAATGTGTTACTGAAGTAATGCTAGTTTTTTAGCATATTATTTATGTTAAAAAAGAAAGTTTAGTCCAATAATCGGAATCACCTTTTATTGATTTTTCTTTGTAATTAGGAAGGTAATGTTATTTTAGATGTACAATTGTTTGGCAATAATAAACCATTGTGAAATAATTTGCAGCGTTTTTTAAATGAAATATTTTTTTATCAGTCCTGAAAATTTTTCAAAATGGATGTTATCAGTTTTGAAACCAAACGCTTCACATATACTTTCATTTGTTTGTTATTGTCTGTATAAATAGTATGACTGTAGTCTGATAACCCTTGTCCATGCGACCGAATATTATATTACTCATAATACAAATATAAGTCATTATAATTTATTCTATTCATTATAATATTATTGTATTCATTTGAACACATTAAGGTACAGATGTAAATCATAATCATTATCATTATAGTAAATATTTATCTGTTCTTTTATTATTATTTTTTTCATTGATTCAATGGTGTGACAACACAAGTAATTAATTGTTTATTTCTAATTTCATTTAGTATTCCATAGTTTCTTGTTTTTAGCAACTATTAGCAGTATTGTGACCATATTGCTCATATTATTTCTTTAATATGTCTGTATAGTTATGTAAATACTTCTGTTATTACTTAGTTTTTAGTTATTTTTTTTATTGTAATATGTATTTTGGCCAGATGTTATGTTAATTTTTATGTACAATATTGTTATTCTTAAGGGACTTCGTCCCAGAATAAAGTTGATTCTTCTATTCTATAACTGTCATTTCCATTTGCAGGTGTGATGATCGTGGAGGTGTGCTGGCTGATGTTCGCAGTGGTCTGGTTGATCCTCAACTACCAGAGCTGCCCAATAGAAGGGGTAAAGGAAGCCATATTAGGTACAATAATCTACCTTACTGGGTAATGTCTGTTTTAAAGCAGTTCTTATGTTGGAATCTCCTATACATATTTTAAGGGTATAATAACGGCGCGTATCTCGATCTAGTAAGTAATGCCTAGGCAGACTAAGGATACCTTGAGGCATCGGACGTTGAGAACTAGGGTGGGTTCTTCGCAAGGCCTCATACCCAAGACATCTGAGATTTTTAGAATTTTTAGAAAAAGAGAATTTTCATTGTAAGGCTTTAATTTAAACGAACCCTATTCATTTATTACCCGACTAAGCGAATCGGAACGAGGGTTATGTGTTTGGGTCGTTCGTTAAAAGCTATGTAACGTTTTTTTGAGCTAAAGCATTGACCAGTAATCGATTTGCAAAAAGCTTTGTAACGTTGTTTTAAACGAATGGCTGGATCGATTTTTAAGTTGATGGTTCAAATTATTCATTGAGATCTCCTGAGTTTTTTAAAACAATTACAGCTTAATGCTTAATCGTGATTAAATAAAATGTGTTCAATCGATTTGCAAAAATCTTTGTAACACTGTTTTGAATGGGTTTTAAGTTAAGGGGACCCTACACGGTAATTCATGAATGAACGTCACAAGAAGTTCCAAGATTGCCCGCTATCGCTTTGATCATGAAGACCCTTACACGTTCAATCATTACTGATCATTACTTATGTGAAGTTTCCACTTTTTTTTCTCTCCAATTTATTGTCTACTTGACTTTTTAAAGAAAAAATAGTGGAAAATGGTTAATAATAACATATACTACGGATATAAACAACTATTTACTTTTATGAAATTATTTACTTAATAACGAGACTTAGGTAAACTATCCTATCTACTAGTAGTAAGGTTAGTCTCATAGAAAATCGTTTTGACAAAAGTTAGTAAAATATAAGTCTACTATTTACAAAAATTAAGGAAAGGTATTGTGAAAATAATAAATTTGTTGAGAAAAATGGGAAAAGAACTGATAAATATACACAACGTTAAAGTTTTTTTTTTCCTAAAGTAAATTGTGAAGTTTTCTCATTTTTTTTTTTTAATTTGTTGCCCACTTGACTATTTAAAAGAAATAGTTGAAGATGGTTTAAAATTATAAACAAGGGATATGAAAAATTATTTAACTATTTACATATAATGAAAATCAGAAATTTATAATGGTTGTGAGGCCTAAGTAACCTAACTTATCACTTCTCGTGAATGAACCTTTGATTTCGGGATGTTCGGAAATCCGCAGCGCACCACCATCAGTACTTCATTCACTACCTTACACGACAATTCGGAACGTCATTAGTGCAATTCCGATTGACCGTGTAGGGTCCCCTTTATGGCTCAACTATTCATTGAGAAAAATTATATTATGTGATCATATGTTATAAAAATTAATTGTTAACCTTATATGGCGACTGCTAACGAACACATACGAACTCATTGCAAACGATTCCACGTGAACTTACTAGGACATCCTAATACACTCATAAATTACATGGCTACTATGGATATGTCAGATAACGTCTGTAGGATAGTTGGCAATCTATGTGGAACGAAAGCCTGCCTAGCAAATTAAAAGTTGTTAAAAAATCACTTAAGCCCTGGATCATATCAAACCGCTCTAATCGTAGAGAGGAGGTCGCCGTGGCCAGGTTAAGAATAGGACACACGAACCTAACTCATGTACATCTCATCACTAAGCAGCCACCATCAAATTGTCAACACTGCAACAGCCTTCTCACAGTCAACCATATTTTCCAAGACTGCACTTATTATACTTCAAGCCTAAATCGATTGTCTCTAAAACCGGATATATCAACGGTATTAAGCAACAACGAATCAAACATACGAACGGTGATACAATTTCTTAAAATACATGGACTGTTAAATAAAATATAAAAATAAATATAATTTTATTGCTCTTTCTTTTTTAAATATTTATTTTAATATATTTCATCTTTTATTTATATGTTTTTAAATATCTTTCTTATTTATTACTATATCTATTGGTAATTATTAATTCTCCTCTAAAGAGTTTACAAATATAATCGACTCAGAGGCGTTGATGATCGTAGGGTTTTACGCCTTAAAGCCTAAATAAACAAACAAACAAACGTCTGTAGAAGACTGAAGAGGAGCTGGATGAGGGACCTCCTCGAGTAATGTAGATACCACGACCAGTGAGGTGCAGCTGGGCACTGCTCAACCTCATGTCTTTCATGACATTTTATTTTGCAATCGATCTCACATTCACTGGTCATTACTATTATGACAGATGTGAATAAAAAATATAAAAGTTTAAAAAAAAATATTTTAAAAACTAAAAATGTAAAAATAAGAAAAACATTGAATTAAAAAAAAAGCCGAATACAGAAATTGAAAAATTCTATGCCTCTACTGGAATATGTGTTCGTACCCAACCCACTTCAGGAATTTGTGGCTCCTTCCTCTTGTGTATATACTTTTGCATAGTAACTCTGTGCAAGAGTTAATAATCAACAAATAATTTTTTTTTTTAAATGTGATGGATAGTTTTTAAATCGTTCTAATATTTCCGTGCCGATGGAATTATCGACTGCGATGCGACCTGCGGCTGACCCAGTAGTCATTATTACACGCCGCAGACAGACGCAGATCACGTAATCCCCTGCGATGTTTGGACATAACTCTCCCGTAACTTGGGTTGGGCTCTTCGCACGCCACGATACGCTGCGTTGGAGTCACGCGATGGTTCTTTCTAACTCTGTCTGAGGATATTTAACGATAGCAACTCTCTAGGATCGAGTCTGAATAAACATTGGATTATAAAATGTGGCAGCCATTATAAAATAGAAGTAGTCTTATTACACCATGACAATGGCAATAACTGCCTCGATATAAGGCAAAAGACAAGAATAAAAATATTTGAAATTCATAACTGAGTGATATTTAAAGCTGGGAGGTGAGGATCAAGAATCATTTTACTCCGCTACGCAGTTACACTCTCATAATGAAAATTATATTTTCAAAGCATAAATAACAATACTAACATAAAAAATGTCGTAAACCAATGACTTCCTGTCCTACAGTTTCCTCTAACAATACTCCACTTATCTCTGTTGAGCTTGTTATTTTTCTGTGACAAAACTACTTAGTTCGCGCCTCTTGTCCCGGAACATAAAAATTAGAATCTATAAAACAATTATCTTGCCTACAGTTCTTTATGGATGCGAAACTTGGCCGCTTACATTAAGGGATGAGCAGCGTCTTAAGGTTTTTGAAAATAAAGTATTGCGTAGAATATTCGGACCGAAGAAGGATGAGTTAACCGGAGAGTTCAGACGGTTACACAACGCCGAATTGCGTGAGCTGTATCCGGGTAATATAATTGAGGTAATTTCATCGCGGCGAATCAAATGGGCTTGTAAAGTTGTTGGGCTTAGTAACGAGAGAATTCCTAAAAGGTTAATATTTGCTGTGCCGAATGGTAAGCGTCCGAGGGGTAGACCGAAGCGAAGGTGGGAAGATTGCATTAAAGCCGATCTGAAGGGACTGGGTTTGGACGGCGAACGGTGGAGGGAGGTGTGTAACAAGCGATTGGTGGTGTCGGCATCGAACCTTCGGGTTCGCTAAGTCTTATTATTATTATCTCTGTTGAGCAGATCCGCTACTTAGGACTCCACTTGGATAAACGTCTCACTTGGAATCCTCATACTAGACCACTAGCGGATTCAGAATTTAATTTTTGGGAGAGGGGGCTTCAGCCCGAAAGCTTTTTTTTTCATTAAAATAACGATAATTATTTTGGAAAATAAGAAAAATACTAACTACTTATGTTAATAATAATAATAACTACTGGTGTTTTAGTAATTCCTAAAGCCCTTTAAATGTAATTACACGCATAATTATACTTTAACAGATAATTTTTTACGATAAAACATGGTTATATTTTACCATTTTGGGGGAGAGGGGCTTCAGCCCCCCCCCCCTGTAGATCCGCCCTTGTACTAGACTGAAACGACAAGAAACTGCTCGACGTTTCCGACTGCTAGACAAACGCTCTAAACTTTCAATTAATTACAAAAGACTTATCTACATAACTATAATAAGACCTATGCGGACTCACGGAGTTGAGCTTTGGGGCTCCACTAAACTATCGAATTCCTCTCGTATCCAATCTTTATAATCCAAAATCCTTCGTAAAATCCTCAATACTCCCTAATTTGTTACAAATAAAACCATCCATAATGACCTGAATGTTCCATATCTTTCCGATTTGAGCCAATCCAGATATCTACCCTTCCATAATATACTTCAGAACCATCCTAATCCTCTCATTTCTAACCTTGCTTCCTCCTCGATTCCTGATAACCCTCCGAGGCGTCTAAAAAGAAAATGGTCTCATGATCTCCTAATTTAGATACTTTATTAGAGTGCTACCAATGGGTAGATTCTCTACAAGCCTTGTCAGGTCATATATTTCCTTGTTTTTATCACATTTTCTGAATGTATATTAATTTGTACGGTTGTAAATTTCATAAATAAAATAAAAAATAATTATTTCTAAAGGGACACTAATAATAAAATTATTTTCATTCATTCATTCATATAGTATACAGGCGCATAATACTCCGGCCTGGACAATAGGAGAGAAACTCCTCCGTCCTGGGATATCCTCAGGATTCAGAACATGGACTAAGGACCTAATGGCAGATAATGAGGAGTATTAACACCGTCTGATATTGCCCTATATATAGCCATCCTATGTCCAGCATATTCCAATATGGCAATTACTGACTTCAGTCTGGTCTTAATAGTAGTCCTAATAATAGGTCCTAATCATTGATCTGTTATGCATTTATTAGTATATGTGGTTACAAGAACAATAATTTTAAGACTTTATTGTATTATAGGGATTATAATAGTAGCTCAAAACTTGTGTAAACAATTTAAAAAAAAAACTTTCTAGGTTGATCTAAAAGACGGCAGAACATGAATTTTTAAAGAGGACAAGCTTTAA